ACAGAAATCATTGACTAAATAAGAAAACATTAAGAAAAAGGAAAACAAAAATTTTCCCAGATTTATATCTTTATCATCACAATCAGCTCATATAATACTCTAACAGAAAAGTCATAAAAACATTATAATCTGCACTATAGTCTAATGTTTTAACCCATTAATAGTGAATATAAAAACAATTTTGAAACCGAGAATCACTTTTACTACAAAGTATACTGTTATTGGAATTTATGTATACCATTTAAATTTATTTTTACATGAATTTAATTGAATTTTATGGCTAATAATTAAAATGTTGTATAATTGCAAACAAATAAAAGTTTTGTTTTTATTCAATATCGAGAACACAATTTTGATGTCAGCCTTGTTTCTGATCTGAGTTCAGATCATCTTCAGGGTTAGCACTGGTAGTGAATTTGCCGCACAATTTGTCTCTTATATAATGTAATGTATATAATGATAATGAGCTTTAAAAAAGATTTTTCGAAAATAATGATAAGATTAATCTCTAATTTTTTATTTAATTTTTTTCATTTCATTGAAATATAAAATACTTTAAAAAATAGGATTTCGTAATAAACGGAGCACTTCTCTCATCACTATTTTGTTTATTTTCACGTTTCGACTGTCGATCTGAAGCTTAGTTTTGTTTTTTCCCATTTTTTTATTTTGCAAAACAAATAACAATTTTATTTAAAACTGTCTGTAAATCAAACCAAACGGACTGTTAATGAATTTTACAGAAATCTAAATTAAAATCTGATTTATATCTAAGCAAAATGGAAAAATTTTCATCAATTAGTTTCTCAATTTCAATGTTTACCTATAAAGTGATCATTTATTAGATAACATATTACATATTTTAATGCATTATATAATAGTATTTCAAAATTATTTCTTATTTACGTTTTTACAAAATAACACTCAATGCTATTATACCTTTATTTATTTTCATATAAGGAATCTGATTGTAAATTTGTAATATGCTTATTTCGCTAATTTTAAAAATACAATTTTTTCATTGAAAGTATTAACTTTTGTTTAAAATATTAAAATTAAGTTCGTATATATTATTTCTAAATATAAGCCTTTTATTATAATCTTTTATATACCTATAATTGTGACCACAATATTATTAATACTGATTTTAAAGTATTTTAAAAATAGTTTAATAACTTTGTTTATCATGATAATTTTAATTATAATTGGTTTATTACTCTTTACAATAATATTTGTTATACTCTTATAATGAAAACATTATCACTTATTTTATAGCACTATATAATAATGGTATTAAGTTTCCTGCCATAAAATTTAATTGATTAATTTAAATACTTTTTAATTAATTGTCAAATAAAATGATTTTATTAGTGGTGATGATTATACATGACAATCATATGAAAATTGTTAGAATTGAAGCTCTAAATAAAAAAACTAAAGTTTGTTTAATCATTAGGTTTTTATGCCTCAATTGATTGAATAAATTGACAAAAATTTTAATTATAATTACAATGTAAGAGGCCTTAAACACACCTTAGCATTGATATACATTAATTAATTGAACAAAATGACAATAATTTTCTAATCAAACTCCTTGTATGAGATAATGAAATAAATCTCACAAAAGAAATTTTAAAAATTTTATGGCTTTTAGGCTATTATCCGATTTTATCAAACAAATTAAAGCTTATTCTTAATGCCATTTAATTGGACTAAATTCTATACATAATAAGTATAATATATTAAATTTAATATGATTTCATATTTGCCCAAATTCTTCAGATTTAATGCATTTAATTCAATTTAACCCTTTAAATGGTTTTTAACACATTGACTACACTATGAAATGAAAAAAATGTTGTTTAATTTGCAAGTAACAAAAAATCTTCAAATCATGAATCGCCTCACAAACTGTTTGTCACAAACATCTGATTCTTGGATACTTTAGCGGAAAGAATGTCGTGCCAGAGATATAATGATATGTCAGACATTATATGAAATGAGAAAAAATTAATGATTTTCTCGTCAGAAATCCATAGGAAAGACATTTATCATAGAAATATTCTCAAATAAAAAACCAAAAACTCTGATATTAAACTCAATTTGGTATTCATGCGTAAAGTATAGTCAGTTAATAGCTTCTGGTATTTTTTGGTTACTTTTTAGTTATTATTAGAATAAGAAATCATTTATTATATATGTTTTTGTTTGTCTTGTTATACTTTATTTAATAATAATATACATTTAAGTGTCGATACAATTACACTGAATGAACGATTGGGTGCAGTTTGTTGTGGATATTAATTTGCAAACAACTTGTAACTAAAATAACCGGATTTTATTATACATATTATTTTCTTTGCGTTTTTATTTACTTGTATTTTTATTTAATTTATTAATGTATTCAAACAATTAATTTATAATATGATCGCCAAAAGTGAATATTTAAATCTATATTAAGGGATTGTTTAATTAAATGCACTTTAAATTTGATATTAATTATAATTTATTAAGTCGAAATGAATTATTAAAATATTTTGATTGATTTATTTTCTTAAAAACCTTTTTATTTAAGGATTCGTTAAAGAGTTAGAAAAAAGTGTTCATTTTATTGCTATAATTATCACTCAATATAATGAAGTTTAATGTTTTGACAAAAAAGTTTTTAACAAATAATTTAATGGCCAATGAAATAATTTTGATAATTAAGCAAAAACAAGATTTGAAATTTGATTACAATTTGAAATATTTGATTGTGATTTTAATATAAAAAATATTTACAAAATTTAAATAAAATCCTTGACTATAACGTGAAAGTTGTATTACTTTTTTATTTATACGAAATGCACAAACAAAATAAAAACGCTGTTTTAAAATTGTTTATTGAAATCCAATGACTTTTGTATACCATATATGATTTAGGCGACAGACATATCCACTTGAATGCGAAATTAATGATTAATTTAATGAATATATGAATGAAATGTTATTTTTTTACACCATTTCGATGTCTCATTGATTGTCATTCAATGCACTGTTCGGACACAAAAAGAGTGATTGATTACTGATATTAAATGGTTTTATAAAACAAATATTACAATACTTTCCTCGTTTTCATTAGGAATTCAGTTCACAATATACTTAATTAACCTTCAATTTAGTCCTCTACTCGTATAGTCTTGTGTCAAATAATAAGCATTGTTCATAAAAAATTTGTATATAATATACATAATTTTATTACTCAATTTGATGTTAAATCAAGTAAAAATAAAATACTCTAATCTCTCTTATAATTGATCTTAATTTTTATACAACAAATATTTGATTAATAGTCATTATTTCATTTTGCGTTAATAATCGCTTTGCCATTCTCGATGTCAAATGAAATTAAAGTTTTATAATATAATACTTCTGTAATAAGTCTTTCCATTGGTTTCGCATAGATTTCTATAGACTTATTATACGGGATTGTTTGATACATAAAAAAGATTTATAAGCTATCCAATAGCTACCAATAAATAATTATAATTAGACCTCAGATAATGGCTTTTAGCCCCCGAGAAACCAATCACTCATTTTTTTGTTACTCTTTTCGCTTAATTTGTTTTTATTTCGTATAAAAATCACAATTTTTACACAAAAATTTTAAAAATTAATTTTTTAATCATTTAATGGGACACAACATAACTCTTTTGTGGCGCAAAACTCGTTTCCCTACCGAAAAAGCTTTACTTAATGAGCACTTCATAAGACTTAAGCTCACCATTAGATTTGGCAACAAATTAATTATTTAGTATTATTTTTTATTATTTATACCAAAAATCTGATTTCATGTTTCCATCCAAAACACAGACCACTGAATTTTTGGCTTCAATTAATTTATTTGAAATTTATTTCTTTAATTATTTTCTCTCCAGAAATAAGTATTTTAGGGAAGACTTGAGAAAAAAGGGGTTTTTATGCGAAAACCGCTTCTCGTTTACAATAAATCAGATTTGAAATACTTTTCGTACAAATAATTAACTCAAAAATTAAATAAAATAATAAGACATTCAATAAAATATACAGTAATATAGGACTATATCTTAACTATAAATGTTTACAAAAATTTCTAATGTTAAGCATTTTGATTTATAGACTAACCGTTTGTATTAATTATACAATAAAGTTGTGTATAATAGGGGGTTGGGGTGGAGTATGGGTGGGGTCTTACTAATCAAACAAAACAAAATTTGAAATTGAAATCAATATAAAAATATACTACTGTAATTATACTTACTAGATACATTTTTAATTATAACACAAAACTTTTATAAATAATTTCTAAAAGTTTTTGATAAAAGTTTAAAACAAACACTAAATTATAAGCCAATGGATGGCATAGCAATCGCTATTCAATTACATCAATGTTTTTGAAATGAAATGTAAAGTTTGCGTACAATTTATGGCAAAATATTAAAGACATATACCATTGAAATGAATGTATATAATGAACACAAACTAAGCACTTGTTTAAAGAGAGCGCTAAATATTAGTAAAAAGTGTTGCAAACAATGCGTGCATTTGTTGTCTGTTTTGATCACTTATTGAATCTATTGAATCCATGTCTTAACCGTAAGAAACCGTTTACGAGATAATCGTTGAATTGAAGGCCAAGACATGAAACAAAGCGATGGTATGTCGGGAACCATTGATATGGAGCCGTGTCTGCAGATGTCGCCCAACCTGCTCTCGTAAGTCACCCAAACTGATCCCATGTCTTGTATACTGATGGCTATGTTATGTGTCGGTGACAGGGATATGCATCAGTTCCGGTACATCCGGTTCCAGGGGAACGACACCTCATATAAAGTGAATTCAATGGACTGGAACTCTTCGGGCACTCATCTGATCGCCTCATCGGACGACTCAGTGGTGCGGATCTTCGACATGAATGGCGTGGAAGTGAATCTGATTCCATCGAAAAAGCACGGATCAGATTGTATTCAGTGGCTGAACGACACGAATACCGCGGTCTTCGCCTCCAAATACGAGACTCAGATCGGATCAGATGTCCATAAAATCAGACATTTGGACGTCGAGAGGAAGACATTTATGCACTACTATTGCGGACATGAGAGACAGGTCTGTCATCACTTCCCATCACATCCTATGTCCGAACATGTCTTCGGGTGACTTAAGCTGTCAACAGATGTCTATTCATTAGGAAATGTATTCATTTAATTAGCGTTTAATTCATTTTTGTGACACTTTTTTGTTGCTTTTGTTTTGCTCTCTATTTCTCGTCTTAAATATTAAGTATTTTTTTTGTTTCTCATGTTTTTTACTCATATTTTTTAAGAGTTTTGTTTTGATATTAATTTTCTCAAAAACTGGTTTTATTTTAAATCTTTATTTATTGATAAATATATTTATTTTGAACTATTTTTTACGCTTATTTCCAATCATTTATTGAAAAATATTAATTAATTTTTGTTTTATTTTCTGTCGTTTTCTCTCTTTATTTTGACTCCAATTCACGACTTTTCTCATAATTTATATGTATTTTCCAGAAATTTATTTAATGTTTTTGTGCTTTTTTTTCCACTAATATATCGATTGGTGTGTTGTGTGGGCCCGACATACAGGTGACCGGTATATCCATAAACCGAAACCACAACTGTTTCCTGTCGGCATCGCTGGACAATACGATCCGTTTGTGGGACAGCCGTCTGGACGCCCAAATCAAACCGGGAGACCGACGATCGTTGGCTATACTCAAGTGTTTGGGCCGATCGGTGGTGTCCTTCGACCCGTTGGGCGTCGTGTTTGCCGTTTGCCTCCAAATGGACTCTTCTATACGTCTCTACGATTTACGCAATTACTCGAGCGGTCCGTTCACTGTGTCTCGCCTACAGCCCAACGCCGCGTTCGGTGAGGTGTACGGCCTGTCCTTCTCGCCCAACGCCAAGATGATAGCCCTGTCGACCAATGGCTCCCAAATGGGAGTACTGGACGCCTACACTCTCAACGAAATGAGTGTTTTGACGGGTTTTAAGAATGAGCTGAGGAAGGAACTGGAGCTCTCGTGGTCTCCCGACTCGAACTACTTGTTCTGTGGGTCGAGCGGTGCCTTTGCGGGTCCGGGCAATTACGGTCACCTCAATATGTTTAACGCCCGAACCGGCGATCACCTCAAGAATTGGCGATCGCTTCACGAGGCGTTCACTCGTATCGTGAAAGTGAATCCAATGTATTATATGATCGCCAGTGCCTGTCATGACATCTCCTACTGGAGCCCCACTACTGAAGTGGTCGACGATTTGATTGAAAAAATTGAGGGCAAAACTGGTTAACCCTTTATTTGAATAATATTTTTGTTGTTTATTTAGTTTTTTAATTAAGTTTTTGACTGTTCAGAGGTTTACTATATTTGATCTCAAAATTATGTGATTTTTATAACTTATGAGTATTTTTGACAGAAATAAAATGTAAATATTATTTGTTTTACGTAAGTAATTATGACCAATCAATGGATACTGTACTTACATTCATCAACATTGTTTTAATAAAAGATTTGCTTTTTTGATACTTTTATATTTATAATAAGCACTGTATTTAAATACGATATTAATTAGTTGAATAGGACAAATCAATTTACAGCAAATGTATAAATTTTTGATTGTAAAATCAATAAATAAATAATATTTATTTAATAAAACATCACATTACCCTTAAGACAAGCATTCAATTCCATAGTGTATCAATTATACAGTTAATGGGAAAAACTGCTACTAAAAAAGATGCTTAAAATATATTTGGGTTCGTTTTAATCAAATTTTTAAAATTAATTGTTTTAGTCTTGTAATTAATTTGATAGTACTGTAGTGTATGTATTTTCACAACCTTTCTTTCTGTCTTTCAATGTGTCTGTATTTCACAATTCAATTATTGTGTGTCTATTGTATTTGTGTTCAGTTTTATGAGTAAATTTAGAAAGTTAGTAAATAAGTTTACTATGCTTTGTATTATTACGGTATATTGCTATCAATTCTATGCCCTCAAGACATTACTGCATATTTTGAAAACACTATTATTTTCTTTTTTATAATTTATAATATCTTATAATTTATGACAATTTATCCAATCGTTGTGTTATTTATATTTATTTATGGAAATAAATTTAAGTTTCTTATATCGACTTAACTATTAATTAAAATTAAAAGATATAACCTTTTATAAATGTTTTTAAGATATATACCATATAATATAACAGCAAAATGAAAGTTTTAACCATTTCAACGAATTTAATTGGTAATTAATATTTTAATAAGATTAATAGTATTGAACATGCTTATTGTAATTATATGTGTAAAATTATGTGTATTTGTTAGTAAATTTGTTTTAATTGTTTTTCATATTTAATAAGTATTCAGTAATTGGGTTAAAACTATATGCTGCATAAGATTCTTATGTTACAGAAATAATTTGTATATTACCATTTAATTTATTTGTGATCCAGTATTAGAATTAATTATTTGTATTACTGTATACTAAATATTGTTAGATATATTTACCGATAAATATATTTAAATAAACAAAAAGAAATAATAATAATAGCAAATTTATTAATTTAGTGATGTCTTTGTATGCCTTATAATCTCATTAAATATTAATTGATTCTAAGTTCCTATAGTAAGCCAGAAGTTAAAACAACTACACATTTAATTTATATATACTCAGTATGCATTTAAAATTAATTTAGTGATGTCTTTGTATGCCTTATAATCTCATTAAATATTAATTGATTCTAAGTTCCTATAGTAAGCCAGAAGTTAAAACAACTACACATTTAATTTATATATACTCAGTATGCATTTAAATTAATCTATATTTATAAATTTGACATTTTGTTCAAAATATATTTACTCAAACCATTACGTCTATTGAGTTAAGTCACAAATAAATAAACACATTTCAGGTCATTACTGGGATTAAATTATTTCTGAGACCCAAGTGAAAACTAATGCATCAATTTTTAAGCAATTTTGTGTCGATTACTTGTAAGTGAATTACATTAAAGTAGAAGTAAATGAGAATTTATATCCATTTCTAGAGCTTTCAATACAAAAACTACTCGCAATTCCTATACAATAAAAAAAAGTTTCGATTATTTTCTTACATTTTCTCGTGTCTACAGTTCCCGTGCTTCACATTATTTGTCTCAATGTTTGTCTCAAAAGATTATTTCTGTTTCCATAGGATATCATTTAATGTCTAATTCAGAGTTTATTCTTAAAATCTTAGATGTATTCAATTTTATTCAATAACAAAAGGGCTACTATTGTCTGATGTATAAAAGGGACTAAATTATTATAATGTTTTCGTTTAATCTCTGCAAAGTATATCATTTTATATAAAAATACAATAAAAAGTAAATGTAATGTTTAGTTGTATTCAATTCATAACTTTTCTTTTTATCTATATTTCAACATTTCCTTTTTTGAACAGATATTTCAGTGAATAACATACAGTAGTTTTTGAATCACTGGCTAATGGATTATAATATACTTATAAAAGTATTATTTGTTAGTTTTATTAGACAATAAAATGAATATATTACATTTTAAGTTACATCTTAATAAAAATTTAATGGAAAATTTATTTTATTAATTGTTATTGACAATAGCTTATTGCTTAGAGCAGACAAATAGTACAATTCAGTTATTGTTAGAGTTTATTATTTAGTGATATAATTCATTTAATAAATCTTATTTCAATATAAATCATTAAATTAATTTAGTTAACAATAAAATACATGTGATAATTTTTATAAAAATTATATTATTTGATTATGTACCAGAGTTTGTGGTACATAATAGTGTATATCAACTTGGAATATTCTTTGATATTGCAAATAAACTAGAGTATCAAATATTTAACAAAATAACTTTATTGATTCTTACATTAATTAAAAATTTGTATTAAAAATTCATTATTTATGCTACACTTATTTAATTCCATATATATTTTATATTGTATATGTTAGGTCATTTTTATTCAATATTTTCTAAAATTATTGGTTTTTTTGGTAAACTAATACAAAACTTCAATGATTTCTATATAATAATATTTTTAAAATTTGAATATACAAAGTAAAAGTTACCAAATAAAAATATTAGAGTAGCCTATGGCTATAAATCACTAAATGGTTTCTCATATAAGATGAGAAAATATTCTTTCTAAAAAATAGACTTAAAATGAACCTTAAAATATGCAGAAACAAAAGTGAAATATAACCAAGGGCATTGTCTTGGCATAAAATTGTTAATATAATTTGTTTTGCAAAGAAATGTTTGCTATGTATATTACAGCTTCAGATACGTTACAAATAACATTAACGTAACAATAAATTGTTTGAACAATAAATTAATTGTTAAATTGATGATACACTTTAAATGATGTTATGTGTACTGTTTATAAATTATAAAGAATAAACTAGATATTAGAAAGAATTTATTAAAAAATAATGTGTATTTCATGTTTACTTGTTTACTTTGAGAAAGTGAGAGCCAAATGGAGGACTTATTTTTAAAAGGAGGTCTGTATTGAGAAGTTCATTGAATGGCTATAAATCACAATTTGGACACCAAATATAACACAAAAGCATTTTTCATTTCTTATTAAGCGCTCCATTTATTTCACAAACAATCCAAAAGGCAAACAATATTTATTTGACTCGGATTTCAAGTTTTGTAAAAATTTTCTTCAAAAACTTTCATTCATACTATATTTAATCAGTTTTATTATACTCGATATTTTATTTATGTGGCAACTATTTGTGAGTAGAAAACATTTTAATTAAAGTATCGGCATTTTATCACAAAGATTTAGTTTTATTTCTCACACTTTCTAATTGCATACTATTTTGGGAATTATTTCTTATGTAATTATTTTTCTAATTAATTATAAAACTCGTTAGATATTTCCAAATATTTTTCTTTTAAGACTTGATATAAATTAAATTCTTATGAAATCTACATTAATTCAAAAATTATTAGCTGTTTCTCATCTAATTTCATGAATTGAAAAGTTGACATAATTTTAGCGGAAATGAAGTTTTAGTCTGTTTTTACAGTATTTAATGATTACTGCGGTTTAGTTTAGTTTTGTTATCTAATTCTTGGTCGCCATTGGATACCAAAAGGGATTTAGTATTTGAATGCAAAAAGGGATACAACGGATAGAGTATAGCCTTATGGAGCGAATGCACAGCACATGTGCCTCTCATGAATGCAATCACTCGCACATCCATTCACTGCAAGTCTCACATAAATGCATTGAAAACCACACTATTATGCCGTAAATGCTTTGTCGGTCTTCTCAACAATTTATGGTTAACTCAAATAAGAGCTAAATTTTCATATCTGTTATCATAAGACCGAGAGATCTCTTTCACACTGTGTCTGGTGAGTTTTTAATTTCAAATATTTTACTTTTTTTGTCTCATTTACTGCAAATTCTTACAATTTAATTTCAACAAAAGTAATGTTGCTTATAGCAAAGTTGTGACATACCATTTGTCTATACTCTAGAAATGCATTTAATTGTATGTATTTGTAATATATTATAGTACTAAAATGTTTTTAATGTTACGATAATATCCTAATCAAATGATTATTTAATTTTAGTATTTTAGTTATTTATAGATTAAGGAAAAATAAATTATTTGTTTCAAAAGCGCAAATCATTTAACCCCAAGATCTCCGTACAGATGAGTGAATAAGTTGTCGAAATGCCAGCAAATTATTGACAAAATATTCTTTCATAAAACTATTTCTTAACGTCTATTTAAATAAGCTATACAAACATTTCGTTTTAGTTGGGTTCCAGTGAAACATATATTTATAACTTATATAAATTATAAGTATTTTTTAAGATTATTTTGATCCCAAGGTTTCTTTCAAGCAATCTTTAATAATATGTTATTTTAATACATATCAGTCCAAAGAATACGAAATAAATGTGAATAAATATTGCCTTAATGTGATAAAAACTTAATTCATTATTTTTTCACATTTATTTCGTTTTCTTGAGACTGATATACTATATATGAAAAGAGTTTTATTGAGAATTTCTTTCAGTTGCAAATTCTGTGAAATATTTAATACGGATATAAAACCTTTTTAAGAATATATGCCATATTAAAACAGTTTTATGTTATTTTGAGATATATATTAAAGGAAATATTATATTATTAAACAACTTCTACCACTTAAATAACTTTTTATAGTTTATATAAATAAAATTTCTAACAACTATTTAATATTCAAAATTGAATTCCAGTGATATATAAAAACTGTTTGTGTAGACATTTGCTTATAATTTATTGATTGAATTTGTTAAAAATATTGTAAAATATATGATACGTTTTTGCAGCAAACATAAAATTCTTGACGGAAATTATC